CGTTTTGTCGATTTTTCTGTTTGTGTGTGAGGAGAGAGAGAGCGATCGAGCTAGAAAGAGTGGTAGAGGGACGGTGGCGGCCGCGGACGGGCGACGGCGGCGACTGACCGGCGGAGGCTGAGTGTTGTTGGTAGGCCGTGAATGTGTGTGTGTGTGAGAGAGAGAGAGTGTGGGGTGAGGTGAGGTGGGGTGGAGTGGGGTGGGGTGGGGTAGCAGGTGAAATAATGTGGTATGAGATCCACTTTTTTTAATGTGGTGTACAAAATTACTATAATGTCCTTAATGAAGATTTATTTTTGGTTTTTTTGTAAGTCGTTGGATCATGCGATCGGATGGCTATGATGTATTCTCATTTTTTTTCACTGAGCATCATTCTCATGTGAACTCAACCGTAGTATATATATTGGAAGTGAATTGGAAAGAGAAATTAGTGTTTACATAGTTTAAGGAAGTAAATTAAGGTGGGGACTGACAAAAAAATTAATTTGTGCATTAAAGATTTATATGGAATTAACAGTTATAATTGCGGTAATTAATAAATACAATTCATATCCTCTTAAGAAAATATTTTAAAATATAATAAACAATATATTTACGTCAGCTAGGTCTATTGATTGGACGAGTCACAAGTGTTGATTATGGCCTTAGTTGTTATCAGCACCGCCAACGCAAGAATCAATGATCTTTTTCCCATAGCTGAGCAAGTTATAGGGTCTTGATTGATGTTGTGCAGGAATAGATAGGCTTATTTTTTCAAGAGTAATTATCACAGATATGTAGAGTACAATTCCTGATGAACAAAGTAAAACTAGACAATATTTATGTGTATTACACAGTGTTTTAAAATGGTATAGCATAATGAATCGTGTTTTGACTTTTATACTGCGTAGCGTAAATAGCGTTGCGTGTTGCGTAAGCTATTTGTGTATAATTTTTTTTTATACAAATATTATAAATATATTTACATATAATAAAACTAGATGATTAATTTAAAAAATTATCATATTATTTGAATCACCTCAAAAATAACATTTAAGAATTATTTCTCACAAATATTTATTGTAATTATCATAATATAAGTATTTAAATAATAAATTAAATATATTAAAAAGTAAAAACAAACAATGAAAATATAATGAGGTAAGTCTTAGTTTAATTTTAAGTATATGTATACTAATTATTATTTTTATTTAACTACAACTTAACTATATCAATTAGATATGAACTTTTTATTTTTTATTTAATTGTCAAATATCAAAAAATAAAATGATATAACAGAAATGAACTGATAAATATTATACTATACAACTTAGAACTTTGCATTATCAAACTTTTAATTTGAAATTATTATCAAATATTTTACTTTTTAGTTTTCATTTGTAAATATGACTCTGACCCCTAAAAAATACGAGTTTTTGAATATTTTATTATTTAAATGTTATTGCAGAAATATAACGTAATGTAGCGCACAATAACGTGGAATAGCGCTAAATAGCGTAAGATAGTGTGTCATTTCAACATTTCGCCTAAACTTTTTAAAAAAAACATTAAATATATAAAGCTAAGTCACACTTTTTTAAAAAAAAAAATCTATATTGCAAGCAATAGCGGGCTATGTAGTAGCTACGTTTAACAATGGTATCACGCTACGTTTATAAAATAAAAAGAAAAATTAAAAATCAATTGAAATGTAAACTAAGAGCATCTCCAATGGAAAATGATCCATTTTGTGTTGTATGGCATGGAGAATAAAAACTAAAAAATTATGTCTCCAATGGTTGATGTTAATTGTGGTATCATTTGTGATGTGTAAAATTTTAATTGGTTGGAAAAGATAAATAAATTAAATAAATATGCTAATATACAATGAAAGTTGTCTAGAAAGGCTTCTACATCTAGAAAGCCTTCTAGAATTTTTTCAAGCCACATAAGTTTATTTGTGACATGTGGCAACAAAATAGAGAAATAGAATGGCCATTGGAGATGCTCTAACAGTCACGACTATCGAAAATTCGGTATCAAAACTATTTTGAAAATACAAATAAAAATGTGCGCGAATACATTTCTCAAAGACCCGTGTGCCTTTATAAATAGACGGCGTACAAGTAAAGCGTTCAACAGTCAGCTACATACACATTTGTAATGGTAAAAAAGAAAAGGAAAATGTCAAATTCCTCAATACGCCTGAAGCTGCTGATAGACACCCGAGCCAAAAGGGTTCTGTTTGCGGAGGCCGACAAAGACTGCGTGGATTTCCTCTTCTACATTCTCTCTCTGCCGGTGGCTAAGTTGATCGATCTAGTCGGAAAACAAGGAATGGTGGGGTCGTTAGCCAACTTGTACGAGAGCATTGAAAACCTCAACGACTCCTACGTTCAACCCAACCAGGCAAAAGACACGCTCCTCAAACCGTCCTACACAGCTTCCTCAGCTGTTCCTCTATTGGCCCTCGAGGACTCGTCCTCAGGTGCTGGTCGGAAAACGTTCTACAAGTGCAGCTGTAATAACTTTTATTTTAGTGATAGCCAAGATGCCACATGTCCAACTTGTCGTCAGAAAATGACGAGAGAGTTGCAGTATGTGGGCCCACCAGTTGTGCAAAGCGTGTCGTCTGGTGCGGAAGGCGGGTTTGTGAAGGGTGTGGTGACGTATATGGTGATGGATGATTTGGCAGTGTCTCCTATGTCGACAATTTCTAGTATTACTCTACTTAATAAGTTTAATATCAAGGAAGTTGGTGCTTTGAAGGAGAAGGTCGTGAATTTCGGGATGACTGAGGTAATACTATATTAATTGTCAACTGTCATACTCTCTCATGCCTATACAATGATCTTTATTTTTCAGTTTTGTGGTATTTCATATTTATGCGGTAATCTATGATTCACTGAAATGTATAGGCGGTGAAGTTGTTGAAGGCTTCTTTGGAGACCAAGAATGTGCTTACCCGTGTTTTCTTCAGCCGAACAGCATGAGTGTGGTCGAGGCTTCTTTGTATCTAATCAATATTTTTTGTTGACGTTGGGGCTTTTGCACTGTATTTATCAGCTTCCCCAGACTTCCTGGCTTAAATATGCTCGCACATCCTTTTGTAACTATACTATGTTTAAGTAGTGCGTTGCTATGTAATGTAGTTTACCCGTTTGAAATTTGCGACTTTTGTCTGCTCTGTTTATAATGGTTTTGTCTTCCTGATGCCCACCAATGGAATGAAAGGGAATTAAAGAAATACCTATGATGTTCAGAATTAGAGACCATTTTCTCCTACTTTGGTACAAACGCATCTGTTTTTAACAACAGCAAGATGACGATTATGTTGTTCATTACTAACCAAGTAACATCTGATTTATATTTTATTCTTGCTTAAGCAATGTCAAACCTTTTGTATTTTTCCAAATAAAGTAAGCTGCATTCTAAGGAGATTAATTAAGAGTTTAACAACGTTACCAACATAAGAAGATAAATGAGACAGGAGATAGATCTTCCAAAGAAAGAATTTCGCTGATGATAAAGTCCTAATGGGTGATTGTTTACGGATTTAATTAATTTTTATTTGATTTGTTTTTTAACTATAATTAATTTTAAAAAAAAAATTGGTATAGTTAGTTGCTAGTGGATATATTAAAATAATATTAAAATAAAATAATTAAAATTGATTTGATCTAAAGTAAGGGAAAAATGATTGGAAGTGCTATATAGTTAAAATTATGTGAAGGGATGAATAATGAATTGAAGTTGATGTGATGTGTAAGAATGATTGGTTGATATTATTTAATTATATTGATAATATTGAGGATAGTAGGGTTTGGTTAGTTAAATTTAAGTTTTGATTGTTTTTTTTTTTTAATTGAAACAATAAACAATTACCCCCTAAGTAGCTAGTTTATGGGCAATAATATTTTGATCCTTATTAAATGACTACAAAAATCACAAGTATTTAAGGTTAACTAGTAAAGTGCACGTGCGATGCACGTGGTGACGAATGTTTTTTGCCGATTAATTTTAGTAAGATAAATTAATTAATTTATTAAACATATGATTGCAATAAGAAAAAATACAATGTAGATTAAATAAACTCTTCATTATTTTTTTTTCAAAAATAATATAATGATGTCGCAATATAAAAAAAATTTAAATAATATATTATAACCCCAACAAAAATATATGAAAATGAGTCCATAATAAAAAAAATACTAAATAAGGATCTAATGTATATTATAGATGCATGAGTTCTTTTATTTATTTATGTAGATTCAAGAGTGATTTTATTTCATTCTAATTTGATGTTCTCATAAGAAACATTTATACTCGTTGTATTCCAATACATCAATAGTATTGTTAATTTTTTCTTAATTGATTTGTTAAAACGTGTGTTTTATTCAACACTTAGAGATACTTTAGCCAAACATATAGTCAAACTTCATGATTGTATGATCATTATAAAGTATATTTACTAACAGTTCATAAATATCTCTGTGATATAACCAACTGTATCATTAGAGTTCTTGATACTTGTGTCATTAAAATTCTTGATATTTTTTTAATCATTGTGTAAAATACTCTCTCTCTCTTTCTCTCTCTCTCTCTCTCTCTCCATATAACAAATTGGTACTTACTCCATGGGGTAAGTACGAATTTAATCTCTAAATAAAAATTGATTTTCCAAAATCATGTACTTCTCCGAAGTTGCTAAATTATTTTTTAAAATTATCACACATCACATTAAAATACGTATTCTAAAGTAATTGTACATATGATCGAGCACAATACACAATTAAAATAGAGAAATTGGTACTTACTCCATGGGGTGGAAACGAATTTAATCTCTAAATAAAAGTTAATTTTTCAAAATCATGTACTTCTTCGAAGTCGCTAAATTATTTTTTAAAATTATCACACATCACATTAAAATGCGTATTCTAAAGTAATTTCACATATGATCGAGCCCAATACACAATTAAGATTGTAAATATTCTATCAAAAGTGAACTTATTCAATCATTCAAAAATAATTTAATCATAATCAAACATTCCCTTTTCAATGTTATTTATTTGGACGATAGATGAACTACATAACCTATTATTTGCAATTTGCATATCATTGAACATTTTGGTTGTTGCAATGATTTTAGAGTTATTTATCATAAAACATTTCACATTCGTTTGGATTACTTGCAATATTTATGCGTCTAATAATTTATTTAATGCATTTATTGTCCACTTTTTGTATCATAACTAATGCTTCGAAAATTCAAGATAATGATCATTTCTTGATTCTTCAATAATAACAAAACAAAACAAAACAATGAGACAATATTGAGACGCATATTATCTGTCAAAATATTTTAGATGAGAAGAATTTGAATTCTATTATATTATGATACTCTTAGTCATTTGTTAACTTTACTATTATGAAGTCATTATTAAAGTTCCTGGTTTATATTATTATAATATCGAATCACTATTTATGAGAACCAATTTCTTATAGATAACATATATTTAAATGCTAGCAACAAAAAAGTAGTAATTTTCAAAGATTTTTGTTTCTTAATATTGGTATTCATACTTTTCTAAAAAAGTTCTGACCGTTTCTTTTCCCCATTGCATTACTATTTGTTTTATTTGTTTTTTATTTTATTCACAAATAATATTTTATTTGTTGAAAAAATTAGAGCACATTTATACACATTGAGTTTTTTTTTTCTTACGTGTTTGATAGTAATAATATATTTGACAAAAATGTACTTTTATATTGTTTATAAAATTAAAAAGTTTTTGGATTTTTTTCCATTGATGATAAACTCCTAAGTAACTAATTTATTTTCATATCCACAAAAAATATATTTTTAAAACCATTATGGTGTTCTCTTTCAAGCAATAATTGCATAATAGTTTAACATACAACTCATTTATTTTTTCTTTTAATTCATATAGTTAATATTGGTAATAGATGTACGTTTACATCCAATTACACTTTTTTCTTATTATTGAATATTTAAAATCCATGTAAGAAAAATGTACCACAAGTTTATCCAATATTATTTTATAGTTAATAAAATTGAGTTAACATGGATCTATAAATTGGTATATATTATTTTAAATTGGTCTATGTATATATATATATATTTTATTTACAATACATTTGTCAAATCAAACATCATGAGAAAAAAATGATGTGATATATTAAATATAAAAGTGAAACAAAAAAAATATTAAGTATTTCAAAATTTAAACTTTTAATGGTAAAATTTAATTAAATTGTTAACTAAAAAGATGATGACTAACATATATATTTCTAACACAAAAAGATAAATATAGTTTTTACAAATGTGCATCTCAAGTATGTTTTACATTTATCATTCGCTAGCTTCAATTGATATGGGACATTTACTAATTTTATTGAGCTATAATCTTGCTCATTGTGTAGTTTTACCTTTTCATCATGTAGAACAATATTCTTACCTCTTGTTTAGTATTAGTCTTACCTTTTTATTACATTGAACATCATTCTTACTTCTTGTTTAGTTGTTATAATACTAATAAAATAATTAACTGCACACAATATTATATATAGTGCTTTTTTTTTTTTATTTGGAGTCATACTTTTACTGCAAGAAAATGATGAAATTCTAATGAAAGCATGTTACAACGGAATTTCAACAACAACTCTAATGAATATTTCAATGTTACAATTCTCGTTTGAATTTTTCAATGAATATTTTAACAAAAATACTTTGTTAGAATTATGGGCAGATCCATGTTTGTCTAATATTCCCGACACAGGCCTCATCCCAAAACATATAGTATAAGATATCTAACAAAAATTATGGGAACATTTTTTATAATTTTAATCATGCCCTTTATTTAAAAAATAAAATTAAACGAAAGAAAGATAAATAATAAATTAATTTAAAACTCAATCAATTATAATTTAGTTCAACTCATAACTATATCAAAGATATAATATAAATGCAATATTACAACTAAACGAAATATAATAGTTATCAAAATTTACAATTGTACGCTCTATTCTCTATTTTCTTTTTAATCTTGATGTTAGCTTATATTCTCTCTTTTGTGACATAATTTTATCTAACTTTAAAAAATATTTTTATATCTTTTTTAACTATATGTAGAATTTTAGTTATATATTCGTAATTTATACATTCATCAATTATATTGTCAAGTCAACTATACTATAACATAAAATATTCGTTCATAATTTTTTTAAAAAAATATAATATTTTTTTATTATTTTCATATGCCGAATTGAGAAAAAAATATTCTTTTCTTTTTAATATTATTGAACATATTGTTATTGTATTAATGTGTAAAAAAAAGTATTACATATGAGAGATGATAAATAATAAAAACTATAATTTCTAAATTGTAATGGCATTATGTTATTTTGATGGTACACTTATTAATCCACAAAAGTTCTATTGTAATTTAATTTGATCTCTATTGGAACAACATTATTTTTTCGTTATTACATTTTCTCATATTTATTAGTAAGTATTAAAACTTAGTTATATTTTTAATATTATGTATCAGATTTAATATTTTATTACTTTATATTGTTCTTTCATATGTTATATATATATATATATATATATATATATATATAACCTTTAGATTTGTTAAAAAATACATAAAATTAAGTATATAACTTTTTTGGGGTCTTATTATATCCATTATAGTTGTACATCTATATAATATATTATATATATAATTATAGTTTTATCATTAATATTATACTCAAATATTAAAAAAAATATGTACATTTTTTTTTAATAAAAAGTTGGTTAGCTTATTCGGTCGTTGGCTGTATATTCGGCTGAATAGTTGTTATCTAGTCTTGTTTTGTTATTAATATAAGTCCTTTTTATCGTTCTGTTTCAAAAAAAGATACGTGAGTAATGGTACTATATGAATATAATTTCTTGATAAAAATTTATTTCTTTTCAGCGTGTATAGACATATTATAGTTCTCTAGATATTTTGAATTAATTTTAAAGATAATGACCAATAAAAGTATATACAACTATTGTCTATCACCTAAAACTTACACCTAGAATTAATAAGAACAAAAAATTAACAAGCGTTTAACAACTCAGCTCGTTTACATCAATAAGTACAAGTTTTAAAAGTTTGATCTTTATTTTTATTAACCATAACATTTTATTTATTATTTTTTTCTCATATTTTTTAGTAAGTGTTACAACTTAAGTGTATTTTAATATTATTTATCAAATTTAATATGTTTTTCCTTTATATTGTTATTT